AACCACGCAGTACAAGCAAATGTAACACATCCTTACATTGTTAAACAAGTGCAACAGAAATACGTGTAACACACCTTTACACAGTTAAAATAATATTCCACAGCATCAACCAATACAACACAGCTTTGCCTAGTTAAGATAATATCCCACAACACACATAAATAAATGTAAGTTTAAGGAGAAAAAGATGAGAATCCAAGTAAACAAACTTACTCTGCCTTGCCTCTTGATGCCCTGAATGGCCTTGGGACTCTGAGGAGAGTCAACCAGAGTAGGAAGGGCCTCCGAAGATGTGGCTGCTCCATCCTGACCTTCCCGGCTACCAGAGCAGGAAACCAAACAAACTTTGTGATTTAATCTGTGGTATTCGGTTATAGCAACAGAAAACAAAGTAAGACACGTGGCCAAGTTAAGAGCATCCAAATCTTTCTGCTCTGCCTTCCTTTCAGCTTTCAATGCCTTCCACTGAGTGGACCACTGAAGCCCACCTTGCTCATGCCAGGCAAATGCTGATCCACTGCTGAGCTCCAGCCCTACCTAGTGCTTTATGGTGCCCCATCCCTTTCTGAGATGGTGTCTGCTGGCCTCAGATTGGCCTTGGGCCCAGAGCTTCCTGCCCCTTCCTCATTCTCCTCTTGCTGGATTTATGCATATGTGCCGCCATATTTGGCTATATCAATCCCATCTTTAAACCATTTCTGTTTTCTCTCTCTCTTCTTGCTGTGGTGGTTAAATGTAGCCATGCAGCCTCTCCAGTATTTTGTTGCTTAGCGATGTCTTCTGCTGGATGCTCTGGTTTATTGCTCTTGAATTCTACTTTCCTGGAGTCCTGGAAATAAATGTAGTTCTACCATGTTCTTTCCAACTATGTAAGAAGATTAATCATAAACTCTAGTTTTGTTTTGTTTTGTTTTTAAATTTCTTATTTGTGTGGATGGGTGTTTTGCCTGCATATGTCTGTCACCACTACCTTGTGTGCAGTATGGCCCAGGGGCCAGAAGATGGGGTCAGATCCCTGAAACTGGAGTTACAGAGAGTCGTGAGCTGCAGCCAAATGGCTCCCCTGAAAGAGCAGCCAGTGCTCTGAACCAGTGAGCATCTCTCCAGCCCCCAAGCTCCAGTTCTCAATTCCTTCCCTTCAATTCAATCTAAGGCCTCTCACTACAGGGGCAGTTACTGTTCATATTTCTGTGAGCATGTTAATGGTCCTTGCCAGTCCCAGGCTTTCCCTAGGGCTATCTTCTGAGTCTTCAAGAGAAACATTCTTAACTTTCCATCCATGACTGTCTGAACCTTTCTAACTTACGCCTTCAATCTGTCCAGCTTCCATGAATTGCTCAGTCCAAACTTCCTCTTCATGTTCAAGTACTTGGTATATGATGGTATATGAAAAGCCATGGGTTCTTTTTTCTTTTATTTGCTTGTTTTGCCTGTTTTTTTTTTTTTTAAAATCTTAGGTCTTTATGTTGCTCTAACAGAATGTCTGGGGCTAGTAAATTTTAAAAAACAGGACCCCCCCCACTACACACACACACACACACAGTTCTGGAGGCTAGACCCCCCTACTACACACACACACACACACACACACACACACACACACACAGTTCTGGAGGCTAGACCCCACCACTACGCGCGTAAACTAGAGTTTACGCACACACACACACACGTATGCACACACACACGTATGCACACACACACGTATGCATACACACACACACAGTTCTGGAGGCTAGACCTCCCCACACTACACGCACACACACGCGCGCGCGCGCGCACACACACACATACACACACACACACACAGTTCTGGAGGCAAAGGATGTCTTGCTACATCATCCCATGGCATGATGGTAAAAGACAGAAGAGAGCAGGGGGTCAAACTCACTTCAAAAACAAATCTACCCTCGTGCCACAGTCCCAACCCTGTGTTTGTGGCATTAATTCACTGGTAAGGGCTGAGTCCTGATGACCGGTCACTGCCACTTACTGAGTTGAGGGTGCTGTTTCCAACACGAAAACTTTATGGGATACACTTGAATTAGCAGCTACAGAGAGGCCACAACCTTTTTTTCAGCTCTTAAGTAACAGAACCTTTCCATTAATTATGACAGTCCATTCTTTTTAAATTTTCCATCAGTTCATGCATGCAGAGACACAAAGCAAGGCAGGATTTCAAGTCTCCCAGGCTGGCCTTGAACTCCTGATCTTCCTGCCCCAGTCTCTCAGGAGCTGCGATCACTGGCGTGGACCACCACGCCCAGCTCAATCCTGGCTTCTTACTAGTGTTCTAACATTTGTAATTAACAGTCATTTGGTATTCATCTCACATGTTGTTAATGTCTGTGAAATCCTAAATCAAGGAGCCAGAGAGAAGACTCTGTGGTTAAGCTCTTACTACTTTTCAGAAGACAAGGGTTCTGTTCCCATCCCCTGTGTGGTAGCTCACAAGCACCTGTAACTCCAGCTCCAGGGGATCTGATGCCCTCTGGCCTCCCTGGGCACTGCACGCATGTGGTATACAGGCATACACACAGGCAAAACACTCATACACATAAAAGGAAATAAATCTGAAAGTACCATAAATCAACGAGTGTGCATCCTTCATGTCAGAATCTTAAACCATGTAAGTAAATACTTGATAATCTCTTTAGTGACAATAATGATGTGTTGTACTGAAACAAACATTAGAGTTAAAATGAATGGTGGGGTTAAAAATGAAGCAGTCAGGGACACCAAAAAAGGTAATAACATTTTAACTGGGTATATGGCCAAGGTGACCAGATAAGAGATAAAACAGAGTCTGGTCTTCAAGTCCCATTCTTATCCCCTGCCCCCACCCCCAGAAAGTACAGGTGTATCGGCGAATCAATCCCACACCAGTTATGTTTTAAGGGGTTATTTATTTTGGGGGGTAAAACTTACATACACCATAAACCGTTAGGAAGGGAGTCTAGTAGCTGGAGCAGGAGCCGGGTACAGGAGCCGGGACCAAGCGCCAAGCGCCGGAACCAAGAGAGCCTGATCCGGGATCTGTGGCTCTTTTTAAAAGAGAAATATACCACGCCCCAGTGGGCTGGTATTTCAGCGGCTATTGGCTGACAGAGCGGAAGGCGCTCCGCAGCATTGTGGGCTCGTGCTTCAGCGACTATTGGCTGAGGCAGCGGAAGGTACTCCCACAACACAGGTGGTACTGCCCTTTTCCCTAGTAAACTTCTCAATTTGATGGGCAGTTGAGCCCTTATGGAGGTTCACGTATCGAATTATTGAACTGTGGGTGAAGAAGGCTTCTAAGAAAGCTTCCTCCTATTCCACAAAGAACACCTTCCCAACCACCCTGAGAGTGCGGAAGGGTAGGAGAGATGGCAGACCAGGACTTGACACTCGACTCAGTCCACCCCCACTCTGGAGAGGGCACCTCTTCTCCACGCTTGCTTCCTCATCTCTTCAAATACACTGTGATTATTTGCTTGCTCTGCCTGTGACTTGGCATGAATTATTTTCTTTAGGGAGCACAAGGTCCTAGACAACTGCCCTGGTTGTCGTGAGAGAGGATGCAGATGGAGGTGTCTCTCATCTACAATTTATATAGTTCAGACCCAACTAAGGTTTTTGGCTGGGGCTCAAACCTAGGACCTTGTACACTGCAGGCAACATTCTGGCATTGAATTATATCACCAGCCCTTTTTAGCTAAGATTCGAATTCCGATTTCAAAACAAATGTAGCTCAAGACTTAGATATTTCTGAAGGAGTTTGCCATTATATGTTACCCAGGTCATCTCTAAAACAAGACATTCTAGGGACCATTGGTTGAAGTAATCTGTAAGATTCTCAAATTTAGCAGCTAAAAATACAGAACTACCATTTAAATTCCAAGTTCAGAAACTAAAAGTACTGCATAGAATGCTTACACAATTATGCTTCAGTTAATGATGGGGACACATTTTGAGAAATGCATTAGGCAGTTGCATCAAAGTGTCTTTATCTGAACTAAGACAGCTATTTTACTAGCTGAAATCACATGGGACCATACAACATGTCATCTCCAGCAACACTGTCACGTGGCATTGTCTAGACTAAGAAATCACCTTCTTATCTGAAATTCAAATTTAATAGAGAAGCCTGTATTTATCTGGAAACATCAAATATCCATGCTTTAAACCCCAAGGTCAAGGGCTTTTGAATAGACTTATCTACACTGTGGATTTCAGAGAGTTAATGAATCAGTAACATTGTCTATGAATGATGCCTGTTTGTTGTTTGAGACAGGGTTTCTTTCGCCTTATGTGCACTATATAGGTGCACTATATAGTCAAAGATGACCTTAAACTCATTATCCCGTGCCTACCTCCCAAGGAGGAGAATCACAGACCTGCACCAACAAGTCCGGCTTTTAAAATATTTTTAATAGATATGTCTGTAGTGCTTTGCCTGGGGAGAGGAGGGAGGGCTTTCTTAGTGACTCTTAATAAGAGAGTTTGCTCTGACAATGTTTAAAAGAGTAGGTAGAGGGTGCTTTCCCTTCTGTCTGAAAGAGGAAGGAGCATGGATGTGGTGGCTCATACCTGTGATTCCAGCATTTGCGAAGCCGAAGAAGTATGATTGTCTTCAGTTCAGAGACAGCCTACTGTCCATAGTGAGTTCGAGCCCAGCTTGGACTACAAGAGTGAGACCCTGTCTCAAAAACTCAAAAACTCAAAAAAAGAAGAAAGAAAGAAAAGAAAAAAAAAAAGAAGAGGAAATGTGATCAAAACGGGGCCTTTTCGCCCAGAATACAAAATACTTGCGAAGGAAGGAGACCAGAGGAACTAAGAGATGAGAAGAGCAAGGTCTTCCAGGCCACTGTTAACTCTTTTGTGCTATTTGATTTTCTCACAAGGCACAGGCTTTATTTACTTAAGAGTTTGCAGCTATAGACTCAAAACCTAGCAACAACCCCTGGGCCTAGGAAGTCAAAAGTTCTAATGCTATAGCGTGTTGTGATTTGACACGAAGAACACACACCTTCTCTCAGTGGCCTTGACCCAAACAACCAAAGAACACAAACGCAGACACCTCTCACGAAATACACCCTGTCCTTCAAATATCTCTGAAAAGAGTCAAAAAGAAGAATGCGTCTCTTCACGTGAGTCGGGGAGTTCTGCTTCGCACTCTTAAGCGTTGAGCCGAAGCACTCCGCCCTCAGTTTTGGGTAAGACCGGAAGCTCTGAGGGCCCCAGTTTCAGACTCAGGACAGCAGACCCGTAATTAATGACTTTGGCCACCAGATCCCGGCTAGAGGCAATTAAGCCCTTATTTATGCCCCTAATAAGCAAGCTGCTTTTTCCTTGCTTGCACTGGGCAGGGCCAAGAATAACAACAACCGGACGTCCTGCCACTCCTGGAAACTTCCCGTGTGTTCTGGCATCGTAGGAATCTGCCCAGCCCGCTTCAAGGTGACGCGCCACCTGCTCATAACTGACCTCACTGACCGAGCAAATGCCAGTAGACAGTCAAAGATTTCTTGATGGGAAACTGCGTCGCCAGCTAGGATGGCGACAGCCCCGAGATCACTGTTCTGGAGTCTACGGCAGAAGCGGTGCCTCTTTATTGGTACCTCTGTCCGTCTCAGCAAAACTGGCAGCCAAGAAGTTCTTTGAAGGCAAACGTGCAATCTGATAAAAAAAAAAAAAAAGCCAAACAAAACAAAGAGCCAAACTAAAAAAAAAAAAACTGTTTATGAGGCCTGGAGAGTCAACTCAGAAGTTAAGAGCCCTTGCTGCTCTTGCAGAGGACCTGGGTTCCGTTCCTATGCTCACACCAGGTAGCTCACAACCACCGGTAACTCCCAATGCCCCAGCAGCTTTCCGACCCCCCCGCAGGCGCCTCCACTCACACACAGAAACCCACCCCCGCACCCAGACATGTGTACATGTAGCTAAAAATAAACAATTTTAATGCATATATATTTTTTAAAAAATCTGTTTATTCCTTTTCTCAGTGTTCTGTTTTTGTCTGGTGTATCCAGAAGAAAGAACTACCACAAGTTATGTAATACCATGCAGTTGATTATATTCACAAAGCCAGTTGGGGCACTGCTAGGAACCCTGACCCTAGAAATATGTTGTTTCTTTTGATACTATTCTTGGGGTTGCTCAATCTCTAAACTGGGCAATTTCTGTAAATATTTCATGTATTCTTTGGGAGGTAGAGGTCTGAGTCTCCCATACTGGTCTTGGTAATTATAGAGAATCCTTAAGATAGTTTTGAGGGTTTGTTTGGCTTGCCTGAATTCGTTTTAGGTGTCTGTGCATTAGGTGGGGTTTGTTATATGGTACAGGATGATTCAGAATCTTCCCAGCCCAGCTTAGTGAATTTTGGGATTATAATGCCCTCTACCATACCAGACAAGTTGTGAGTGTGTGTGTGTGTGTGTGTGTCTTGCCTACATGTAGTCTGTTTACCGTGTGTGTGCCTGGAGTCTGTCAAGGCCAGAAGAGGGAGTCAGATCCCCTGGAACTGGAATTAGAGCCACTGTGAGTGGTGAGCTGCCACGTGACTGCTGGGAAAAAAACATAATCCTCTGCAAGAGTAGCAAGGGCCCTAACCGCGGAGGCATCTCTACACTCTACAATCCTCTAAGGAGATATTTATATTAAAAAGATAAACTGTAGAATTGTGATTTTACCTGTGCGTGTGTGTGCACGTGTGTGCCTGTGTGAACATGCGTGTGCTGATGTTGAGTCCAGAGGTTTACACCAGGTGTCTTCCCCTACTACTCTCCACCGTATTTTTTAAATCAATTAGTGTAGGTGTATGAGTGTGTTCTGTGTGCATGCATGTCTGTGCACCAGTGTGCGTCCCTGGTGCCCTCAGACACTAGGAGAGGGCAGTCAGATCCTCTGAAAGTTCTGGACGGTTGTGAGCCACCTTGTGGGTGCTGGGACTTAACCCTGAGTCCTCTGGAAGAGTGCCAGCCCTCTCAACCACTGAGCCATCTTATCTCTTCAACCCCGCTACCTAGGTTTTTGAGACAGGGTCTCTCACTTAACTTGGAGCTCACCAGACAGACTGGCTGGCAAGCTCTCGAGTTCTGTGTGTCTGCCATCCTCTCGGCAATGTGTGCCGCCACGTCTGGTTTTCATGCGGGTGCTGGGGATCGAAACTCCAGTGCGCATGCTTGCGCAGCAGGCATTTTACCGTCTTGATTTGGCTTCCGAGAATTTGGCAGCCGGTGGTGCTGCTCTCTCCATTTGAACGTCACTCAGCTGCACACGTTCCACAATGGTCAGAGTACTCTTGGGCCTTTGACTTGGTCCTTCCATCTGGTGACTGACACGGTTCCCGTAGTCTCACCTTGAAGCGATGAGTAACGTGTGCTCGGTGAAACTCCCTTTCCTCCTTTCCTTCCCTGACGTCATGCTCTGCCTTCTTCCTAATATCTTTGCTTTGGGTGTTGCTCTCTGTAAAAGTAGATAAGCCAACATTGTCTTGGTGTGTGTGTGTGTGTGTGTGTGTGTGTGTTTGTGTGTGTGTGTGTGACTGTGTAGCCTTGGCTGGCTTGGATCCCTATGTCAGTGGTTCCCAACCTTCCTAATGCTGCGACCCTTTAATACAGTTCTTCATGTTGTGGTGACCTCCAACCATGAAATTATTTTTGTTGTTACTTCATAACTGTAATTTTGCTACCGGTATGAACAAACGCTCTCAAGCTTCAAGTTTTGGACAGTTCACATGGAAATGGTGCCATCTGACTACCATTTTCAACCTTGTTCAGAAATCTGGGTTCAGTGAACAACTTTCCAACTGAACAAACCAACCGTACTGACAGCACCTAGGATGTGAGAGAGGAAGACACAAGCTGCAGACCAATTCAGGCTAGGTGTCAAGTTCAAGGCCAGGCTGGGCTATCTAATGAGATGTTTTCACCAAAGCAATCAATACACAGAATTTTGAAAGATTAGGGCAACTGTGGCTCCACCACTCCGAACAATAAACCAACACGGGCGAATGGATCTGTTAGTTACACACTGAACAATATACAAAAGACAGCAAACTTAAAGTACAGAGAAAGCCATTTAACTGTAACTCCCAAGCTTTTAACATAAAATGCCTTTTTTGAGATAGTGTCTAGTTACGTGGCCCAGGATGACCTTGCTTCCCACGCGTTGAGATTACAGGCACTTGAGATTACAAGCATGTACCTCCAAGTCTTGCCCTCATTTTTTCTGTTGTTACCTTCCTAAATATTTAAACTTGCAGGAAAATAATACAGTGTATCAAAGCAATACATTTTATGTATTCCAGTACATCCAGTACTTTACCAAGGTTTGCATAGAGTGGAAGTCCATAAGATAAAACCATTCTGAGAAAATACACACACAGCCAAGACTCGCAAGAGACAGGAAGCGGGAAGCGTGTTACCCTGCCTCGAAGGAAATTAAGTTACAAAGTACAGAAATCATTTTAGATTACAGTACCTCTTGTTTAAAATCACACAAATAGGCCTTTAAGTTTTACCCTTGGTGGTGGAGTGTGTGGAGGATGTATACCATGGCGTCATTGTGGAAGTCAAAGCATCTCCACAGGAGCCGGTTCTCGCCTTCCTTCCACCATGCTGGTACCAGAGGCTGAACTCAGATCCTCGGGCAACAAGCACCTTTACTCCCTGAGTCACGTCACTGGCTCACAATTGGATGCTTGTCACTACAAATACATAGTCAGCAATAGACAGCTCATCAGCCAAAGACACCTGCTACGGCACCTGATCGCCTGAGTCCAATCTGCAGAACCCAGGTGGTGGAAGGTGAAAACTGACACCTGCTGGCCGTCCTTGGTATTACATGCTGTGGCATGGGTATGCCCACACAACACACAATAAACAAACAAACAAACAAATAATATTTAAACTATGGATCTTACTATTAAACGTGTGGAAAGGGGGCTCTTTGTTTATTGACTTTCACCCGTTTCCGCCATAAGGAGAGAGGAGTGAAAGCATCTGGCTTTTCTGTGTCTATGTTCTAATGAGTTAATATGTTGGTATTTCCTAATCTAGATAACGTCTTCAAAGGCTTGACTCAGGGCAGTCACAAAGACATATTAATCCAATCTTTGAGGATGGTAATTAGCTCTGCAGGTATGCAGGGTAAGTTCTAAGCCTTCATAATCTTCCCGACTTCAAACAAATTGTTTATCCTCAGTTTGAATTCCTTTAAGGAGAAAAAAAGAAAGGGAACCTTAGACCTCTCAGATAATTCAATACATCTTGGCTAGTGATGGAATTATTCTTTGTGACAACCAGGCATGATCCGAGTTTGGCTTCTCAATTCTCGGTCCCACTGTGTGGTAGCACAGGTTCTCCTGTTCACACAACATGTGAACATATAACAAATGGGTTCTAGCCATGTGGCAGCTTGGGCACCCTTGTTCTCACGCCTGCCGTGTCCTTGGGCTGCAGCGTGGTGGTCTGGACGTGCCTATTTTCACACCTGCTGTGTTTCAGGGCTGCCATGTAGTTTCCTATGCACGCCTGTTTGCCGGCTGGCCTTTCCCGTTATGCCACCATGTGACGGCTGGAGCACGCCTGCTTGCTGGTTTTCTGGGTCCTACGGCTGCCATGTGGTGGCCTGTGCCCGCCCGTTCACACACCTGCCGTGTTCTAGACCCACCAAGCAATGGCATAGTCACAATGCCTATTGTCAGTTTAGACTCACCTGTTGGAGCACACACCACCTCCCAGGGCCGCCAAACGTCGGCGGAAGTGCGCTTATTCCCATGCCTGCAGCGTTCCAGCGGCACCATGTGTTGGCACCAGGCATCTTTGCTCACCAGCCTCCTGAGTTACAGCCCTGTGTTGTAAGAGTCTAGGTGAGCTCCGCACTCACGTGTGAGCCACATATCAGTTACATCGTGTTGCGGCGCACCTGGCAGCCATGTTCCAGGCCTGCAAAGGGTGGGAGGGTTCACTCGCAAGTTGTGTCCCAGCATCTCCAGGTGGGTGCCAAGCTTACCTATCTCCGTGTGGTGGCCTGGGCATGTCTGTTCACAGGTTTGCTGTGTCCCAATGCTGCCACCTGGTGACCTGTGCGTGTATGTTCACTCGCCTGTTGTGTCCCAGCACTGCCATCTGGTGGCCTATTTACATATCTGTTTACATACTTGCCGTGCCACAAAGCCACCATGTGGTGACCTGGACATGCATGTTTGAATGCCTGCTGTGTTCCAGCGCTATTACTAGGCTGCCTGGGCACACCTGTTCACATGCATTCTGTGTCCTAATGCTAGGCTCACTTGTTAGCAGTCATGCTGGGTTCCAGTTCCAGGACCAACACGTGTGCGCGCGCACGTGTGTGTGTGTGTGTGTGTGTGTGTGTGTGTGTGTGTGTGTGTGTGT